CCTGCAGGACACCGGCCCTCGAGGCCTGGAATTGCCCACCCCTGTCCTAGGACCTGGCGTCCACATATGTGGACATCACATTTTGGGTTATTTAGACCAAAATACTAAATCTTGCTCAACAAGGGCCTGATATCCACTTACGAGGACATTATACTGCAACTATTCTGTCGAAATTTCAAATGAATATCCTCATATGTGTCTGTCATTTCTCAGAAACAAAAATTAGATTAAAAAAAAAGAAAAATCTGGTAATTCTTTGTTTTTATATTCATCAGGTCCCAATCAGCCCAAATATCAAAAAGAAATTAAAAAATGGAAGAGTTCGGGTCTTAGGAGGTTAAATCATTACCACACAAAAAATGTTTTTTGTGAAAAAGATGCAGATTAAGCACAAAGGAAAGACCCTGTTTTCTATTTTTGGACAGTTCTAATAAAAAACTATGTACTAACATAAAACACAAATGGTAACTGTTGAATCTGCTTTTTGTCAGGTATGAACTGATGTCTTAGTATACCTCGGTGGGGAGAGAGCTTATATTTGTCACAGAAAATCTTGTACTTAATACGACCACTTTTATTCTAAATCTCAGGGGCCTCTTACATGCTTTGCTAGAATCCCATCTAGGGAACCCTAAATCAGATTCTGACTTGTTTAAGTCATCATTCATTTGTTTGTTCATTTTTCTGGCACTTTTTTTTTTTTTAGATCTTCAGGAACTAAAAATCAGTGGAAGTACAGTTGTGAAGAAGGGTGCTTCACTTAGTCTAACTTGCAGTGCTGGCAGTTTCACTGCATCTTCTATCAACTGGATTAAATCTGACACCAACAAAGACTTGAACAGAAAAATTGAAAGTAAAACCACAAAAGGCAAGGGGTCAGCCTCTCTTACCATTTCTAATATGACACCAGAACTTTCTGGACAGTACAAGTGTATAGCAACAAACAAGAACAAAATCATTATGAAAACCATTCATGTAAAATGTGAGTACATTTTTTCATATTTATTAATAATGAATAAAATCCTGTCTTCCTTACTGTTACACATATGGAGGACATTTCTGTTCATGTGAGTTTACTGTGGATTTGACCTAATGTTGAGATTCATTTTCAGTATTTGCAGCTGGTCCAAGAATTTTGAATAGTGTGAGGTTCAATCAGAGGTTCTGTGCTGTATGTGCAACAGTGAGGAGTTTCCTCCGGCCACCATAAAATGGCCACATTTGAAAAGCCATATTTTCATAAAGTTTTAACTCATCTTATATAAAAAC